CCCCAGTCCCTGCACCGCCTCCTTCCACCCCTCACCCTTTTTCATTGCCGACACCAGCTGAAATCACTTCTCCTTTCTGCTGAATAATGAATGCATTTGCCACAGTCAGGCCACGGGCTGGTTTACAACCAGATAAATGAGGCTGTCTGCGCTTCCCCAGCCGAAGCAGGATAAACGGTTTCATTTTCCTAAATTGAGTCCTCCACTCGGTGGCTGCACAGACTCTGGGGAAGGCGGGCGGCCGACGTTCTGCCTGGGTCAGCGGTTCTTTCAATAATTGCCCGCTTTCCCCGCCAGCGGCCACCACGTTGGTCCCGACCCTCCCTGCGCGCAGCTGCCAGGGCTCAGTTCTAATTTAGTTCTGGGGGGTGTCGCGCAGTAGGTCTCCCTCTTCTCTTCTGTATGGATCCTCAGCCTTGGTGCTTCTGTGAGGCTGCGGGGCTGCGCCTGCCCTGGGCCTGGCTGGAACCCCAGCCCCTGACCTCCCGTGTTGCTGGCAGGAATTTTACTTATTACTTCTTTTTTAAATTATTATTTAAAGATAAAACATGTTAACAGTGCAACAAAAGTATACAGCCCCAAGCGAGCCTGCTCCTGCCCGTCCCCAGCCACCAGCCTCTCACTAGAAGCAAGCTGACCGCCCTTGCCCTGCTTCCAGAGTATCGCCCGCCCTCCTCCTTTTTAACGTGAATAGAGGCAGAGAATGTTTCTGCAGCTGCCATTTTACTCAAAAATACATATTCATGCTGCCCAGCCAGCGTGGCTCAGTGGCTTGCTGGGAGAGGGGTGGGGCACGCACTGACCTCGGATAGCTTAGCATTCCGTGGTGAGAACCACAAAACTCTTAGCATCAGCAATGCCATTCATATTCGCATAACCCCCTGACAATAGTGCAGTGAAGGCCTGGGGGTGGGGGCGTGGTGCAGGGGGTCAGTGGGGGTTTGAAAAGGGGGCATCTGTAATACTTTCAACAATATAAAATAAAAAAGAAAAACACAATGCCATCCAGCCCCACACACGAGGGGACCCGAGTAAACTGGCCTGGCTTCTGCCCGTCCCACACCGTGTCCGGGGATGACCCCAGCCCCTTATAATGCCTGCCCGACCGAGAAAACTCAAGCTGCCAACGAAGTTACAGTTTTTTCCAGTCCAAACCTGACAAGGGGGCCCTGACGCCCCTTTTCTTAGGCAGTTACTGTAGGAAACGTGGAACTACAAACCCCGCCTCTGCCTCTGAGATAGAAGTCCCTGTAACCCAGAAGGCTTCCTCAACCCGGAGCCACGTCTGCAGTGCAAACGCCTGTGGAGATAGCGCCCCAGCCGCCCAGCTCCCGTGGGAGGGTGGATGCCAACTCGTTTTTACTCTGAGCTACGTTTATTAAGGCTGGGGACAGGGAAACAAGGAAGGGCTCAGCATAGAAGGAGCAACAGGAGAGCCCAATTTTCACCATCTGGACTCACTCCCCTGCCCCCATTCTTCAACAAGGATCTCACAATTAAGAGATGTAAGGGTGGTGAGCCGTGTTTGGGAAGAGCACAGAAAGAGGCCCCTAGTGACAGGGCTCAGTCTCACCTATTTTCTTTAGCAATTCCGCTCCCTCCCAGACCTCTACGTATCACAAAACAAGAGGCCCCAGAAATCAGGAGCCACCCATCTTAGAAAGCACTTAGTGGCCACCTTTAGCAGCCTCGTGTCCCCTTCCCCTCCCTGCCCCACCAAAATATTTCTTCCAGTCTATGTATCACTCCCTCCAAGAAGAATTCTCCTGGACAAATTTTCCTCTGCCTAGTTACATTTCTAATGATACTTTAGTGTCCCTTATAGCTTAGCTAACAGAGTAACTCTCTTACTTGCCTGCTCTGACCACATGAATTGCATTAATTAAAAAACAGGAGTGGGCTGGGCTGGTGTGGCTCAGTGGTTGAGCACCGACCTATGAACCAGGAGGTCATGGTTCAATTCCCAGTCAGGGCATGTGCCTGGGTTGCAGGCTTTATCCCTACTAGGGGGCATGCAGGAGGCAGCCCACCAATGCATCATTGATGTTTCTATCTCCCCCTCTCCCTTCCTCTCAAAATCAATAAAAATATATTTATAAAAACAAAACAAAAACACACACACACACACACACAAAAACCAGGAGTGGTTTTGTCTTGGGTCCATGTGTTCAGGTTTTGCAGATTCTAAAAGAGCACATGGTGCCTCCCCCTCCCCCTTTCGGGGACACCAGGTGGTGAAATGTGAACAATGACCCTGCTGTCTGTGTTTTTATTCAGTGGGGGAAGGATTAGTTCTTATTTCTTTAAAAACAAAAATAAAAACCCCTGCTGGGACCCCAGGTTCTGTCCGGAGAGAGCCCTGGCCCTGATCTAGTTGCCTCATTTGTCCAGAAGTTTCCCCAACAGGCAGACCCCAGGGTGTGGGCTCTCTCTCTGCCAGGGACAGAAACGGGCTGTGAGCAGCAGCCCCATTTTACATCAGGCCCATTCAGAATTCCAATCCTTGGCCTCTCAGTCATTCTGACTTCTCCTTCCTCCAGCTGACAGCCTTTGCTGCCCTGGTCTCCCATGGAGCCCACGAATTTCCGTGGAAACCCAAGCCTCCAGGTCTCCTTCCTTCCCGGGCAGCGCCTCCTGGCCTGGCTCACAGCCTGCGCCCGGTGGCCTCTGGGCTGCCCCTCCTCTGCCCTCTCCCCTCCCCCGCCCCGTCCCTCTGTCCGTCTGCCCATCTGCAGCTCCGAGGCCGGGAAGCTGCCTGTGTTCGGCCTATTTGATGAAAGGGCCTGCTGTGGCCAGAGTTTACCATCAGCACCACTCACTGGGCAGGGAAAGCCAGGAGCCCTCGGCAAAGCTGGGGAGGGAAGGGGCTGCCCTCTGCCCCGGTGATGGCCGGGTGCCGGGTCCTCCGTGGCCTCTGTGGCCACCACCCGGGCATTTCCTCTCTGTCGTCACTGCTTAGCCAGAGAAGTGGCCGAGAGGCGCTAACACAGCTGGGGAGCAGGGAGAGGGAGGTTTGGCATCGAAAAGGGACTTCATGTACATTAACTCTCACCAAGACTGGACTCAGTTTATTGTGTAAAATAAAAAGGCGGAGCTCCTTGTTAAAGAAAAACAGAGAGAAAAGAAAGATGCCTTTAAGACCATGAAAAGGTAAAGCTTTATCCTATTTTCCATGGTTTTTCTCTTGACCAGTCACGGTAATTCTGCTATTTAATCTGTTTCTCCTTTGGGCACAGGGATACTCAAGGGGCAAGCGCAGCCCTCGTGGGCACCTGGGGGGGGGGTTCTGCCCCAGCATTTGGGGCACTGCCTGGTCCGTCAGCCGCTGGACTGACATGCTACGTTCTGGCCGAGGGTGGGAAGCGGCCAGGCATCGCCGTTCCTGCAGACTGGCCGCTTGCACCCACGGAGGGCAGGGCACCCCGAGGGTACTGAGCCGCAGTGCCACTCTGTGGGCAGCTGGGTCAATGGGCAAGAGGCTCGTGAAGAGTCTGTGTGGCGTCGGAGTGCAAGGAATTGCCCTGAAGAAATACGGACACAGCCAGGGACGCTCTGGGGGTTTACCCGGCACAAGCATGGGAAGCAGCGCGGCTGCTGTGAGTCTGGGAGGAAGGGCTGCCTTAGACTCGGCGGCTGTAAGGCCCTGGCTGCTCTAGGTGGCTCTCCCTCAGCCCAGCTGGATGCGAACGAACAGCAGCCCAGCCCAGCAGTGAGGACAGGGTGTCTCATGGGTCCCGTGCTGTCAGCTGGGCGCTGACTAACGTGGGCAGCATCCCGGGATGAAATGCGAGGCAGCAGGGAGCCCCTGCGTGTCTGCTCAGCCTCACCCAGCCGCACACAAATCAAGGTCATGACCTTGTCTTGGGGGCTGCGAGCTGGGCCCCAGGGCGCACGGGGTCTGAGCTGGCAGTTCCTGGTTGGGCGAGAGGCTGAGTTAGCGCAGAGGGATCCAAGGCCGGCACCCGGAGGGCGGGGGCTTGGGCGGGGGCGGGGATGGGGGGGAGATGTGCGGTGCTGGCTGCAGTCCAGTGTCAGAGCCCCGGCGGCAGGCCGGACGTGATGGATGAGCTGAGAGCTCTGCAGAGGGCACCGAGCACAGGTCCTGACTAAGCAGTGAGGATGGCGGAAGCCTGGTGCCCTGTCTGTCTGTCCGTCAGACAGACACCAGCCACAGGCCATGCAAAGTCACAAAATGCAACGAAATAAAAACATCAGTTCCCCAGTCGCATCAGCCACACGGCCAGTGGCACCAGGGTGGACAGTGTGCACACAGGCCACTGCCATCGCTGCTGAAAGTCCTATTTGAAGGCAGATGACCCCATTACCATTCTTATATTGAATATATGCTGGAATCGCATTTAAAATACATTCAGTTAAATAAGACATAATACCAATGTTAACTTCACTGGTTTCTTTTTACTTTTTTTTTTCTTACTGTGGGCAATAGGAACTTGTAAATTATCCATGTGGCTCCTATTTCCACTGGACAGTGTGATTACAGAAGGGCACAGGAACACACCTTCACTCACTCATTGTTCTTAATGCTACATCCATTCGATGCTATTCCATTTGACCATGGCTGTAAAAACCCTTCCGTAACACAAAGCTTACGGGGCAGCCGGAGGTAATGGCACAAATGCAAGCTTTGGAGCCAGAAAATTCCAGGTCCAAATCTCAGCTCCACCCCCTACTCGCTGCATGGTCTTGGCCAGAGAACTTCCCTCTGGGCCTCAGTTTTCTCATCTGAACAATAGGATCAGTGAATGAGCTACAACTGTGCACACCCCGGGAGACGGTGATGGAGAGGGACGCTCGTGGGCCCGGCCCTGGTACGCCTCTGTCAGAGGTCATCGTCACTGCTGTTATTACTGTCTAGTGTTTTTAGCATGAAAGTAGGTCAGTGTCTCTGGCCTCTGACCATTTACTCCCCTGCCCCCGGCCTCAGCCTTCAGCCTCCCGTCCCGCCCTCCGCAAAGCCCTTAGGCACGCCCGGCACTCACCTGCTGGCAGCTGCTGGCCCAGGAGGCCCGGAGGGCGCCCCAGTGCTCCGCACTCCCGGCCTTGCTCTCCAGGTGTCTCCGCAGCTGTGCCTCCAGCTCCTGGCTGACCTGCTCGAGGGCATGCACCTGGGTCATGTACCCCACCAGGCAGCGCCCCAGGTCTTCAGCGGCATCGAGGTCCCTCCCCAGGCCTGGAGCAGGCGCTGTGGCCAGGCCTGAGCTCCGCAGCCCCTGCAGAAAGACACTGCTGATGCCCAGGGCTCGGCGGGTCACGCGGGCACCCAGGCCACTGGTGTACCCATTGGAGGCCATCCCTACATAGACCCTGGGTGCTCGGATGAGGCCACCCATGGCACTGGTCCTGGAGGCCGGGGGGCTATCCAGGGAGGAAGACGATGACCGTGTCCCCCTGAAGGATGCCCTGTGCCTCTGGACGGGCACGCTGGCACCGGTGGGCGCATCCACCATCACTCGCTTTGAGCTCATCGCCCTTCTGCCTCTCTGTGCCTTACGGGGCTTAGAGTCCAGCAGCTTTTGGTGCAGCCCCGGCGTCCCTGTGGCCGGGTCATCGGCCTCTCTGGAAGCTCTGTCCCCAGGGCTGCTGTGTCTGCTGTTTTCCATGAGTTTCTATCGTTCATGGAGCTGAAAGAGAGCCTGCCCGTCCAGGGCCGTGTGCAGAGGCCCTCGCACATTCTCTGCAGGGTCATGTGCCCGACCTTCCAGATTTTTCTGCTGGTGGTGGTGGAGGCTGGATCCCTGCAGGCTGTGGGGGTGGCTCATCTGGGGCTGTGTGTATTTCACTAAGTGAGGGCAAGGCAGGCCTCCAGGAGCCCCATTTCACAGATGAGTAAACTGGGGCTCAGATCACAAGTGGCTGAACCAGGATTTAAACAATCCAGGTATTCCCAGGGCCAATTTCAGGGCTTTCCACATCCTTACAGGTGCCGGTATGCAGCTGTGACTGTGCCCAAGGTCCCACCAGGTAACACAGGATGGAAGCAGACGTGAACCAGCCATGGCGGAGGCAGCCCTGGGGTCTCAAGAGAAACAAACCAAGCCTGTTGCTTCCTTCATCCCCCTCATCCTGGCAGCAGCTTCAAGCCCCTCCCTAGTTCCTTCCTAGAAAACTGCAGCTCATCCTCTCTTGGCCACACAGCTTCACCTCTCTGGACCTTACTTCCCAGGCCCTGGCCTGGGCTCTACCTCTCTAATGCACCCGGAAGGCTGTCCAGGGTGCCCGCCAGACTGCGATGACAACATCTTAACGCAGGCGACACTGACTGGGCTGCGAGGAGCCGCATGCTTGTGAATCCCAGGATGTATCGCTGAAGGCTAAAGGAAGGGCTCAAACCAGAGGTTGCGTATTATCCTCTACACCAGCGGTTCTCAACCTGTGGGTCACGACCCCTTTGGCGGTCGAATGACCCTTTCACAGGGGTCGCCTAAGACCAGGGGTCCTCAAACTTTTTAAACAGGGGCCAGTTCACTGTCCCTCAGACCGTTGGAGGGCCGGACTATAGTTTAAAAAAAACTATGAACAAATTCCTATGCACACTGCACATATCTTATTTTGAAGTTAAAAAAACAAAACGGGAACAAATACAATATTTGTATTTGCATGTGGCCCGCGGGCCGTAGTTTGAGGACCCCTGCTAAGACCATCCTGCATATCAGATATTTACATTACGATTCATAACAGTAGCAACATTACAGTTATGAAGTAGCAACGAAAATAATTTTATGGTTGGGTCACATAAGGAACTGTATTTAAAGGGCCAGAAGGTTGAGAACCACTGCTCTACACAGAATCATAACCCTCATGGCCAGGTTAACTTCGGCTTCCTCTGATATTTACAATGAAGCCCTGAGTCCGGGAAGGGGGAAGAGAGGAGGGGATGTACCCTCATTCACACCGGTGTCTCCCAGACCTGAGGAGGAATGATTCTCTTTTGGAGAAATCACAAACATGTTTTAAAGGATTTGTTTGATCAAAGAACAAACTGCTAGTCCTATCAGCTCATCATTCTCACAAAACCCAATTTATGGCTAAAGTAGATGAAAAATAGAGCTGGATATTAGGTTGTGTGGTTATTAAAGAAAGACTTAAAAGCCACTTTAAAATGAAAAGGATACAAAATGTATTAGCAACTTGATCCTCTGGCTAATAAAATAAGTTTATTTATATATACATGGTAGCTGAATTCTGTTGATAAGGAAAAATAAGTCATACATCCACATATGTATATATAACATATGCATCTTCGATTACATATATTATATATAAAGTTTACAAACAGGTATCTTTCTATATACACACACACATTGATAGAGTAAATGCAGTCGCTAACAGAAATCCCATGACAGGATAACATGGCAGACAGCAGCACATGGGGAAGGAATCTCAGGGCAACATTTAACCTGCTTCTGTGTGGGATGAAGAGTCTTTACAGAGAGACAACCACTGAACTCATGTCAGGTACGTCCATACGACATGGAGAACACACGTTTCTGAAGGCCATCTTTTTCAAAGGAGAATGAAGAAAGAAAAGAGTCATGATAAGACCACAGCAACAACACAAACATATGAGTCAACATTTAGGTTTGATTTCCAATCTGACTATAAGAACATCTATATTCAAAATATATACTATCAAGCTATTTTTCTTTTAGAGAAAGGAAGCGTCCCAGCATTAATCTCCCGTCCCAGCCACTACCTATGAGGGAGAGAATGCAGAAGCCCGCGTGTCTCCGAGGGTCTGCCACCCTCAGTGGGGGTGGGGAGGCCGCCCACGGAGGGAGGGTGCAGGGGGGAGGGGGAGAGGAAGGGGAACGGGGAGATGGAAAACGAGAGCCGGGTGGCGAGTCCATGTGCTGACAGCCAACCGGGCGTCAGTGCCGAGGAGGACGGGATGGTTCTCCCAAGCGATGGCTTTGGCCATTTCGTGGCCGTCAGATCGCAGGGCGATTTAGAAGTTACAGTGTTGAGCTTCTCACAGAAGTGCCTCCTCGGGGGCACTATCTGAGCGCCTTCTGAGAGACGCTGGACGCTGAGCCCCCCGGCACGAGTGACGCTTGAAGAAGGACCAGCACCCTCCAGCCCGCGGATCCGCTCCGGCACCCTCTCCGGAGGAAGGCACAGCGTGGGACGCAGACGTGGGTGCTGCGGGGGAGGCAGGCGTGTGCCTCTCAGCGGGCAGCCTCTCTTCGCCAGGGAAAGGCAGGCCTGCGGTTGGCACGGCAGCAGGTCCCGTCATGCGGTGTCAGGGGGCTTGGCCTTGGGATTATGATGGACTTCGTGGGTCCCCGCCTGCTCAGAGGGGTGACCCGCAGTCAGCGGTGCTGTCAGGCGCTGGTCGCTCCTCCGTGGCTGCTGCTCGGCCACTTCCTGCTTCAGTGATGACTGCCGTCCTCTCCCCCGGGTGCCTTCGCTGGTGTGCACAGGGGGGGCGGCCGGGGCCACATGGATTCAAGAGGGACCTGAGCTCTAAGACTCTCTCGGGGCCATGCACGTGACATTCCCTCGCTGCCCAGGGCTGCTGGGACCCGCGAGGGCTCAAGGACAGTTATTAAGAGAAGCAATCGGTGCACCTGCTTTGCTTAGAAAGACCTTTATTTTATAAAGCCACGATCGTTCTGTAAAGTTTTTTTTTTTTAAACCACACTTATAAAAAAGATGTTGACAATTCTTAGGAAAGAAAAAGCTGAAAATGTTTCTCCTTAAGTCAGGGTTACACAAAGATTATATTTATAATATATATTTGTAGATTTATGATTTAGAGCCCCAAGGCAGGGCATGGCAAAGCGAGGGCGGCTGCGGTCAGATCTCAGATACCTGATCGTTCCCCACAAACAGTGTTTCTTGGCAGAAGGGGTTGACGAGGACCATCCCTGTGTCTCTGTAGTCGCCGTTGGCTGGGGAGCGCGGCTCGGAGAGCTGGTCCTGGGGAGACAGGGAGGAGATGGTGTGAGCTGGGACGGCTCACTAGGTGGCCTTTCCTAAAGAAACGGACCCACGGGAATTGTGGGTAAATATTTTTCATCCTTTGCCCTGCCAGTTCTGAGGTGCAGAGCCCTCTCTGCTCTTTCGGATTTTTACAGCAGCTTCAAAAAAGATTTCCTGCTTCCTGAGTCACCCCCACCTCAGCTTTCTGAGATGGTATTGCTCTCCTTGTCGAAGTCTGAGCAAGCTCACCATGCTCCACACACACACATACCATATGGTAAACTGTGGTCCACTGGGGCCACAGACTCTTCTTCCTGCCTCTCCCTTACAGACCTCTGGGAGACCTTGCTGCTTTTCCTCCCTGACACACCCCACACTAGACTACCTCTTTCCTGTCCTGCCACCCCCATGTCAGAGCCTCCAAGAGCTAGCTGCCCACCTCCTGAGTCCTCGCAGAGCCACGTCAGAATCCTGGCCCCACTTCTTGCAGAACTAGATGTGAGGAGGTCAACGGGTCTGAATCTCTGTGGGAGTGAACAACTCAGTCTGTCTCCACAGCCCAGGAGTGGGAACAGGTCCTCTAGTGCTTGGGCATCTGAAGGGCTGTGGCCCCATGGCCTAGGGCTATAGGCACTCATGGGCCACGGGATGGCACCACTCAGGGCTGCAGGCACCCGTGGGCCACGGGAGGGCACCGCCCAGGGCTGCAGGCACCCGTGGGCCACGGGAGGGCACCGCCCAGGGCTGCAGGCACCCGTGGGCCACGGGAGGGCACCGTCCAGGGCTGCAGGCACCCGTGGGCCACGGGACGGCTGTACTGACTCAGCATGGGGAACTGGTTCAGGGGAAAAGGCACCGCTTGTTCTAAACAGGTTGGAGCCTCAGGCCCTGCAGGCGGTTCCAGGGTAGAGGCTGAGCCGCAGGCCCAGGGCTGACTGGTCTAAGACAGACCTGCCCTGCATGTCTTCTCTCTCGGAAGCCACAATGAAATCTCTGAAGTTTCTTTTTAAGTGAAACATATCATTTTGAGCAATATGTGCTGCTTTATGGAGAATAAAGAGATGAAGGAAGAGAAAGGCCATTTGTTGGTGAAATGTCTTCTCTGATGACGAGAATTTCCCTCAGTGTCCGGAATTAGCTGAGTGCCCACCTGAGGGTGGCACAAGCCTGCCTCTAAGTAAGGACAACGGGGGCATGTCAGGGGGCAGAGCCCTTCTCCGGGGCTTTCGGGCTGAGCTGCGGAGGGACTGTGGGCTGGACTTAGTCTCACAAAGCAGGTGCCCACCCAGGCGACCAGAGACTCTTCTCTGGGTGAAAAGGAGAAAGGTATTTAGGAAGCAACTCAGGTCAGAAAGAAGAAAAGAGGAGGAAGAGGGAAAGGAACACAAGCTTGGAAAAGTTTCCCAGCACCTTTTTGGCATCACAATTTCGCCCGCATGGCCCAGACCCGTGTTCTGCAGCTTTCGTCCACCCTAAGGGGGGCAGGCACCTGCGAATGTGCTTGGGCAAAGCTCCTGGCGGCCTCCAAAGCCGGCAGCTAAGAGGCAGTGAGTACGAAGGTCAAGGGAGGACCCCAAACATTACATGATGTGACTATACAAGCATGCTTATAGAATCGAGTAGTATATATACAGTTGTAACAGGACAATAAAAAAAGAAGAGAACTTGGCTATGCTGATCAACTGAACGCTGTCCCCATGTCCTTCATTCTTCGCTGACTCCGTCCACACCTTTGGGAACCCCTGGACCGATGGGGCAGGACCCTGGCAGACGTTGTTTCCTTGGGTTTCTCCAGTTTCCTTCACAGGCTCATGACACAGCTTCCACCGGAGACAGGAAACACCCTGCAAGATGCAGGAGCCACAAAAAGGAAGGAAGGGGCCACGTCCCACATAACTTCAGGGACCAAGGCTGCCCAGCAGCCTTTGTTGCCGGGGAGACTAGAAACCTTGGATCTTGTCTCTCTTTTTTTTTGTTAATCCTCACCTGAGGATATTTTCCCATTAATATTTTTTAGAGAGAGTGGAAGGGAGGGGGAGAGACAGAGCGAGAAACATTGGTATGAGAGAGACACATCCATTGGTTGCCTTCTTCCCGACCCAATCAGGGCGGAGCGTCAAGCCTGCAACCAACGTACATGCCCTTGACCGAATCGAACCCGGGACTCTTCAGCCCATGGGTGGACCCGCTATCCTCTGAGCCAAACTGGCTGGGGTGGTTCTTGTCTTTTTTTTTTTAAATATATTTTTACAGATTTCAGAGAGGAAGGAAGAGGGGGAGAGAGACAGAAATATGAACGATGAGAGAAAAGAGAGAATCATTGATCAGCTGCCTCCTGCAGGCCCCACATTGGGGATCAAACCCACAACCCGGGCATGTGCCCCTGACTGGGATCGAACCCGGGACCTTTCAGTCACAGGCTGATGCTATCCAATGAGTCAAACCAGCTAGGGCTGCTCGCCCACCCTGTTTTTAAATTGATTTTAGAGGAAGGGAGAGAAACATTGATGTGGGAGTGAACCACTGGCTGCCTCCTGCACGACCCCAACCGGACCCGGAATCCAACCCGCAATCACTGCACCCCCCCTCCCCCCTCCCGTGCAGAGCGCTTCGCTCTAACCACTGACCACCTGGCGGGCGGCCTTGCTCTGTGTAAGGAGCAGTGGCTCCGGTCGGCACTGCAGGGGAAGAGCCACCAGGGCGGCGCCAGGGACCAGCGCCCCCGGCCCAGAAGGCGACCAGGCCGCGAGGGACAGGGCGGGGCGCCTGGACTGGCTCCACCGCCCGTGTCATCAAACCGCCAAAGCCGGAAGTGACACACAGGGCCCTATTCTCCAGCGGGAACCTGCGGCTTCGGCCCTCCCCGATGTCATCATCCTGCGCCAACGCAGAATAGACGCAGGATAAAACGAGGCTCCGGAACCTGCGGCTTCGGCCCTCCCTGACGTCATCATCCTGCGCCGACGCAGGATAAAAGGAGGCCCCGGCACACGCCCGGCGCAGTTTCTCTTCAGGCTCCGGACCAGCTCCGTCGGCGCAGCGTGGCTTCACTCCAATGGGTGATGCAAAGGACTCTTGGAAAGTGAAGACCTTAGATGAGATTCGCCAGGAAAAGAAGCGACGGAAGGAGCAAGAGGAGAAGGCGGAGATAAAGCGCTTAAAAGATTCTGAAGACTGGGATTCCCTGGAGGAGGGGGAGCTGAGGGACCACCGCATGGAGATCGCCATCAGGAGCTCGCCCTACAGGAGGGAGGGCTCCATGGAGGACAGAGGAGAGGACGATGATTCTTTGGCTATCAAACCACCCCAGCAAATGTCACGGAAAGAAAAAGCTCATCACAGCGAAGATGAGAAGAGAAAAGAGAAACGCAGGCATCGTAGTCATTCAGCAGAAGGGGGCAAGCACGCCAGAGTGAAGGAGACGCAGAGGGAGCACGAGCGCCGGAAGCAGCACCGAGAGGAGCGGGACGAAGCCCGCCGGGAGTGGGAGAGGCGGAAGCGGCGGGAGATGGCGAGAGAGCATTTCCGGGGAGAGAGGGACCGAGAGAGGGAGCGCCTGGAGCAGCTGGAAAGGGGGCGGGGGCGGGGGCGGGGGCGGGAGCGGAGGCTGCGGGAGGCCCGGAGGGAAGCCTCTGCACGGCACCCAGCAGTGCGAGAGGACCAGGGCGATAAAGTGAAGGCCAGCCACCGGAGCCGCAGCCCGCCCCGGCCTCCGCGGGAGAGGTTTGAGCTGGGAGACGGCCGGAAGCCAGTGAAAGAAGAGAAGGTGGAAGAGAGAGGCCTGCTGTCTGTCCTACAAGACATCAGCGACAACGAGCGGAAGACCAGCTCGGCCGAGTCCTCCTCAGCGGAATCAGGGTCGGGTTCTAAGGAGGAGGAAGCGGAGGTGGAGGAGGGGAGCAGCAGTGAAGAATCAGAGGAGGAAGAGGAGACTGGGAGCAACCCCGAGGACGTGTCTGGACAGTCGGCAGAGGAGGTGAGTGAGGAAGAAATGAGTGAAGACGGAGAGGGAGAGGCTGAGAACCACATCCTCGTTGATCGATTTGACCGAGGTTCCGGGGACAGTGAAGAAGGGGAGGAAGAGGTGGGCGAGGGCACCCCCCACAGCACCGCCCTGACGGAAGGCGAGTTCGTGCCGGACTCCCCAGCCCTGTCGCCCATCGAGCCCAAGCAGGAGCTGCCCAAGTACCTGCCCGCCCTGCAGGGCTGTCGCAGTGTGGAGGAGTTCCAGTGCCTGAACAGGATTGAGGAGGGCACCTACGGGGTGGTGTACAGAGCAAAGGACAAGAAGACAGGTGAGATTGTGGCTCTGAAGCGGCTGAAAATGGAGAAGGAGAAGGAAGGCTTTCCGATCACGTCGCTGAGGGAGATCAGCACCATTCTCAAGGCGCAGCACCCCAACATCGTGACGGTCAGGGAGATCGTCGTGGGCAGCAACATGGACAAGATTTACATTGTGATGAACTACGTGGAGCATGACCTCAAGAGCCTGATGGAGACCATGAAGCAGCCTTTCCTGCCAGGGGAGGTGAAGACACTGATGATCCAGCTGCTGTGTGGAGTGAAGCACCTTCATGACAACTGGATCCTGCACCGAGACCTCAAGACCTCCAACCTGCTGCTGAGCCACGCCGGCATCCTCAAGGTGGGCGACTTTGGGCTGGCGCGGGAGTACGGGTCCCCTCTGAAGGCCTACACCCCTGTTGTCGTGACCTTGTGGTACCGTGCCCCAGAGCTGCTGCTGGGGGCCAAGGAGTACTCCACGGCTGTGGACATGTGGTCTGTGGGGTGCATCTTTGGGGAGCTGCTGACACAGAAACCACTGTTCCCAGGGAAGTCGGAGATTGATCAGATCAACAAAGTGTTTAAGGACCTGGGGACGCCCAGTGAGAAGATCTGGCCCGGCTACAACCAGCTGCCCGCCGTGAAGAAGATGACCTTCACCGAGTACCCCTACAACAACCTGCGCAAGCGCTTCGGGGCACTGCTCTCCGACCAGGGCTTTGACCTCATGAACAAGTTCCTGACCTACTTTCCTGAGCGGAGGGTCAGCGCAGAGGACGCTCTCAAGCACGAGTATTTCCACGAGACCCCCCTCCCCATCGACCCCTCAATGTTCCCCACGTGGCCCGCCAAGAGTGAACAGCAAAGGGTGAAGCGTGGCCCCAGCCCGAGACCCCCCGAGGGAGGCCTCGGCTACAGCCAGCTGGGTGACGATGACCTGAAGGAGACTGGCTTCCACCTCACCACCACCAACCAGGGGGCCTCGGCCACAGGCCCTGGCTTCAGCCTCAAGTTCTGAGATTCAGAGTGGACCCCAGAAACAGCGGGACCAGGGGCAGGAGCAGAGGCAGCCTGTGGTCAGACCCAGTCCTGCCCGGATGACAGGCTGCTGCAGCCCGGGCTGCGGTGACGTGGCCTCGAGTTGAACTGCTGGCCTCGTTTTCCACATTTTGTTTCTATTTTGTCTTGGCTTGTAAATTTGTAGAATTAAACCTTATTTCCTTATGGGGAAAAAAATAATAAAATAAATCCAGAACAAGAGATTAAATGAAATAAAAAAATAGGCAGTGAGTACACCCTGTGACCGATGATCATTGTGGGTGGTCTGCAGGGCACACGCGTGCCCGGGGAGGTGGGACAAATGGTAGCATCGCTCTAGCTCAGGGTGGGGAACCTTTTTTCTGCCACGGGCCATTTGGATATGTATAACATCATTTGCGGGCCCTACAAAATTATCAACTTAAAAATCAGCCTGGCCCTGACCGGTTTGGCTCAGTGAATAGAGCGCTGGCCTGCGGACTGAAGGGTCCCAGGTTTGATTTCGGTCAAGGGCATGTACCTTGGTTGTGGGCACATCCCCAGTAGGGGGTGTTCAGGAGGCAGCTGATTGATGTTTATCTCTCATTGATGTTTCTAACTCTATCCCTCTCCCTTCCTCTCTGTAAAAACTCAATAAAATATATTGAAAAAAAATCAGCCTGCAATATTTAATCTAACAACTCACCCCTAACGCCTTGGCAAATGATTTCGAGGTTCTTGTAGGGCCCGTGGGTCGGATGTTCCCCACCCTGCACTAAAGCCCAAAGAGGGGCCTAGACCCCCTGGGAGGGATGCTGATACAGTCCACTCTGCAGCCAAACTGAGCTTCGTGTGCAACCCCGAGCTTGTGTCGATCGGCAGCCTCTGCATCAGAGCCTCTAGCTGTGCCCATGGCCTGTGCTCTGGGCTGGAAAGACTACCTGGCCTTCCCGTCGTATGCTCACAAGCGCTGCCCTTCACCTTTGGCTTTCGTGGGCTGATTTTGCAAAGAGAATATGAGGAAGTTAGAGCTCAGGGGTTTGCAGCCTACACTCAAAGTGGGCCAGCCTCTGCCTTGTCCTAAAACCCGGTCACACAAAACTCAGAATTTCCAATGACCCTCTGCTGCCCACGACTAAAGTCTATTCAGGCCCATTCAAGACTATGCCCATCCACCTGCCAATCCTGCTGCACCTTGGCCTCTACCCACCTTCCCTTCAGAGTGGAAAGGGTACAGCGCCCAAGTCAGAGACCTGGGTCCCGAGCCCAGCTCTCTAACCAGCCAGCCAGGTCGTTCTGGCCAAATGCTCCTCAGCGACACCCCACACCCTCCCCACCTGACTCAGCCACGCTCTTTGCTAGGACACCTGCTAAGTCCTCTGAGCAGACTTCCTCGGGTGCCCACAGCTCTGTGACGCCTCTTGCATCTCCCTTAGTCTGCACTGTTTCTGAATGATGCATGAGGCTCCAATCTGGGCCCCTGGGGAGCAAGCTCTCATCTCCACAGTCCCCGGGGAGTAACACGTGTGCTCTGTGAATATTTGTTGGCTTGTTCCCAGGAACAGTGACTCTAAAACTTTAACATGTGCATAAGGTGCCTGGGATTGTCGCTGAAGTGCAGACCCTGATCACAGGGCTGGGCGGGCTGCAGCCTCCTGTGCTGCTGGCCCGGGGACCACGCTTCGAGGAGCAAGGCGCCTGGAAACGCGCAGATGCTCCCTCCACAGCTCTCTCGGGAGCCTGTGACTCTCCGGGCAGTGGAGCCAGCACCTCCAGGGGCACCCCTGGTCGGGGCTCCGTACCTCAGAGGTGGTGAGGGACTGGATCTCCCTGGGCAGCTCCACGGCGTGCTTGTTGAAGTAGTCCATGGTGATGGCGTTGTTCCAGTAGCTCAGGTTGTTCTCTGGGTTGGCTGCCTTCTTCTTCCTCCTCAGGCAGCACACTGTCAGCAAGACCGCTGTGGAGAGAGTCCAGGTTAGAGAGGGAGGGGGACAAGCACGGAGCAGCATTCCCGAGTGACAGAGGCCAGTCCCCAGGAGCGCGGTGATGGCCACCCAGTCAGCCACTGACCCCACTCATTAATTCATGTGTGCGCTCATTCAACAAATACCCACGTATGCTGAGTGCCTGTGCCAGGTGCTGGGGTGGAAGAAAGACAAGGATGCCCTGCTTTCGTAAGCTTCCCCTCTAGGTGTGTATGGAGGGTGCAGAGGGGTCAGACAATCTATGCATAATACACAAGGAATGAATAAGGTGAATTCAGATAGTGACAACTGTTCAGAAAAATAAAACAGGGTGAAGGGAGAGAGACAGTGGAGGTGAGCTGGGGGAGAGAGTGCGTTAGAGTCATCACGGAAGGTTTCCCTAGGAGGTGAACTAGAGCTAAAAATAGAATGGGGGGCACTAGCCACGTGCAGAACAGGGGGCAGTGTGTTTCAGGTAACGAAAACAGCATGTGCAAAGGGCTTGAGGTAGGGACAAGCTTGATGTGTGAGAAAAGACTGGCACAGCTGGAGTGGGGTGAGTGTGGAGGAGCAAGGCAGGAGATGAGGCCAGAGGGTTGTGTCCATAGACTGTGAGGCAGGAGGCTGGGCTGTAACTTCAGTTATCTGTGGGCACTGCAGTGCCAAGCCTGAGTCTGCTCCAAGAAAAGGCCACGCTCATTCGGTGGGAGGAGAGCGTGGCTGCAGGAAAGGCACGTGTATTCTGAGTGGCTCTGCTGGACTGATGAGGGGAGGGGAGCAGAGAGAAGGGCAGAGCCAAACGAGCCCTTGATTCCCACAGGCGGCCGAGAGCAAACCCTGACACCTGGACTCCCATGTCTGCTGTTCACTGTCCATGATTCTGCCTCACAAAGACACTCCGAAGGCTGAGGCGGCACATTCGGGCCTGGTGGGGCTCAACACAGCCTGACGTGCGACCTGTCTGTTCAACCTCTGAGACTCGGGGGCCCCAGGGAGGAATACATTTGGAAGTTGCTGATGAACCAGGTGACAGAGTGACTTGGCCCAACAAGGAGGCCTCTGCGGCGAGAGAGCTGGGATGGCTGTCTAGGTTCCCATGTAGAACAGGTGATACAATGCCAAGGGTGACAGGATCCCTCTTGGGGAGAAGCCCGTAAGTGAAGGCCGGGCATCTCCTGCCCAGGCTCGCCATCGCCAGGGCCTGTAAGGTGGCTGAAGCTCCAGGCCAGGGGTGGGCAGGGTGCACCCAACAGCCTGGAGGTGCCAACCACCTGTGCTGGGGAGACAGGGCCCCAAGCTGAGCTGGCCCGGAGGCTGGACCCATGGTGACAATGGCCACCAGGGGGCAGCAGAAGACCATCTCTGTCCACAGCAGCCAACTGGCCAGCACCCCGGAGCCTGTGTGTGCCAGGGTGTGGGGCAGCTGCAGAAGCTGGCACCCACACAGCTGCGACCTCAGGGCCCACACCCAGCCCTCTCAGATGCAGGAATTCTCCTGGAGGCAGGAATTCTGTAGCTCTCATCCCAGCTGCCATCTCAACCTGAGACCTCCAGACAAGTTCAAGAGATCAGGCAAGTTTGTTTCCATGCCTTCCAATCTGCTTTGATCAGGAAGACTTTAATTTGCTCACCATTCTTCTGGGTTCCCTTAAAAGGTTTTAAAATAGGAAGGAAATGTCTGAATGTTTGAGCTATAAGAAATTTTACTCTGGCTGGTATAGACTTAAAATTTGTGCGTTTCCTCCTCCTTCCCGCCCTTCCTTCTGAAGAGTCCTTTCAACAGGTTGAAGGGAATGGGGGGGCGGGGGGGGGGTGTGAAGCTGCAGAATGCAGCCTGAAAATCTGCTAACTTAGGGCACCGCCTTACTCCACAGATGAGAAGGCCATGGCCAGAGCACCTGGCTGGCTGGCCAGAGGTCACAGGTGTGAGTGGCAGGGCCGGGGCAAGTCTCTATTCTTCACTGTCCCTGCTTTCCACCTGCTCCTGGGACTGGGTGTGCGAGAGCCTGAGGAGTCAAGCTGGTGGCAGCCGCAGAGAGGGTAGAGAGGGGCGAGGCTGCCATGGAGCCAGGCTGCGCACCTGGGCCGGCACAGGTTGCAGAATTAGGTCCCTACAACCTCCCGCCCTGAGTCCTGTGCGAAGGCTGGCCCTGGTGGGGTGGCCTGAGGGTTGGGACAGGGACTTGCGTTCTCACCTCTCTCTCCTTCATGTGTTGTGAGTGCTCCCGTCCTGACTGCATCTCTCTCAGCAGCTCCCAGGGCTGCTCAGGTGCACTTCGCTGCCACATGGGAGCCGGCCTGGCGACAGAGCCGGGGCTTGGAGTCCAAAGACCTGCGTTCAAGCCTGGCTCTGCCACGTGTTAGACTAGGCAAGGCACTTCACCAAGCTGATCAGCAGGGGCCTCACAGGTTTGTAAGGAAAGTTAGAGACCATGAACGCAAATGCCTACACGCTGCCTGACACACAACAGGTGCGTGATTAACAGTCTCCTCGTTCTCCCAGCATCCTCCACACAGAGGCCCAGGAAGAAAACGGGGCTGCATGACTCAAGGCCACGGGCGGCTTAGAACTCTCGTTATTTCAGCGACTGACTGTTCATCCAGGAAAGGAAAGTACAGCTCAGACGTGTGGCATCTCTGATGTGTCCCCAGCGATGACCTAGGTGCCTTATCACCCAATTTAACCCACGAAGCGGCTATGGAGGAAGCTGCTGTTAACACCCCCACCCCCCCATTTCCAGAAGAGGCGCCGGAAGCTCCTGGGTATTAACACAACTGGCCCTGCTCGCCCAGCTCGTCCCTGGGACTTGAACCCTGGTCTCTGTGACCCTCGGGTTGATGCCTACCGTCCCATCTTGCCCTGGACTCTGGAGTGGACGCACCTTAGCACACGAGGTGCTTTGTACATACACAGCTCTGTGCAAACACCGGTGCTGGCCACCCCCTTCCGGTTCAGTTAGAAGCTCCAACTGCTCTGCTCCCCCAAAGGCAACAGCTGTGAAGACTCCCCAGGACGTCAATATCTCGACTTCCTCATGTTCTAGTTCTAAAGTGGAGTGCGGGCTCAGCAAGTCCTCTGGGCCTCCTAGGAGTGCCCGTGGGGATCATCCTGGACTTGTCAGACGTGTGGCAGGAAGGAGGAGCCCAGGGATTGGAGGAAGGAGGAACAATGCTGTGTTGAGGGGGAGGCACGATTCCAGGGATAGGCTCCCTGTGCAACAGGAAATGGAAATGAACTCCTGCAGGTTCCCCGAGGACTCAACCTTTCCAAGCACCTGCTAAAGTGCCTCCCTAGGCCTGATGGAGAAGGCACAGCAAATCCTAACAGCAGGGTGAATTGTAACTGCCCCACGACCACTGCCATGCACGCAGCACCTTCTCCACAGCAGGCACCGCGATGGGCCTTGGAGGCATCGTCTCTTGGAGTGGGTGCTGCAGCCACGAAAACGCTTTGCTCAGACCCCCTGCTGCAGGGAGCACAGCTCAGGGATGGCCCAGCTGCTGCCCTGGACCCGCTACCACGTCTGTGCCGAGGCCGCGCTCCCTGGACTGCTCCCAGCCATGAGGACTGTGGCGGGTACCAGTGCTCTGCTCCTGCAGGACAGGGACACTCCATGGCCTGAGACACTCCCTTAAAATGGCACTGCAGTTCGAGACTCCTCAATCCTCCTGCCTCCCTCTCCTTTCTACTCTTTAAATGTTTTAAAAATTGATTTTAAAGAGAGAAAAGGAGATAGATAGAGATAGAAACATCGATCAGCTGCCTCCTGCAAACCCCCTACTGGGGATCGAGCCGCAACCTGGGCGTGTGCCCTGACCTGGAATTGAACCGTGGCCTCCTGGTTCCTGGGCCGACACTCAACCACTGAGCCACGCCAGCTGGGCTCCCACTCCTTTCGCGGGCGGCAGAGCTCCAGGCCCTCCCTTTATATTTCACAGCCGCTGCCCCACTCGTCCGCTTGAGGCCTAACCCGTTTTGGTGTCTGCCTCCCAAAGGCCCCGGACTGACAGAGAACACTGGCCCCATGTTTCAGGGGAGAAGGCACTGGACCAGTGGATAGGTAACTTGTCCAAGTCTCCCAGGCGGCGAGTGGGAAGCCGGGATGACGTCCAGGTGTGTTTGGTCCCCAAGCCATGTCTTCCCATCACACAGGCTCCCTCACCAGCGGTCCATGCAGGCCTAACGTTAGGAAATGAGAGAGCAGGGAGCGCCGACACACTTCAGGGGGGCCCTTCGCTGTGTGCATGACTAACGGGGCCCTGGAGGGAAGGAGGGCTCAGGAGTGCGATGACCCAGGCTGGGGCAATCGTTTCCCTCCCTGGAGGCTGAGGGGGGAGGTCCAGGGGAGGCCTCAGCGTGTGGAAGGCGGCAAGACTGGCCGAGGCCATGGGCCTGGGGGAGCCAGGCTGGGGACTTGCTGCCTGACTCCCCACCCTGGCCTGAGGAAATATGTCCGAGGAAGCCCAGGAGGTCCCCAGCAGGGGGCGCTGGTTGGGCAGCACAGAGCAGAGCTGAGAGCCTGGGCATGACGCCGGTCAGCTGAGGACACGCCTGGACAGCCCTGCCCTGCCAAAGGCTGCTCCCTCCCTGTTCACCTGGCTCAGGAGCCCCCCAGGTCACACTTCCTTCTCGTCCTGATCTCCTCTAGTCTCTTCACTGGAAAGAGTAACGCTAACAGGTTTTCTTATAAGGTCACAGTCACGTGGGGCCTGTGAGTAAAAGGTACACACACATTCAGACTTGACTGCCATTCTCAGAACAACGAAGACAGCCGAGAGCCACGCTGTGCACACCAGTGTGGTCGGTGACCCCTGCACGGATGCTCCGGTGCTGTACCCTATGGAGGAAGGGAGCTGGCGCTCTGGGGCAAGGCACACGGCCGCACTCCGGGCCTGGGAGGAAAGCCTGCGCAGTTGGCCTTGCTTCCTGCCCTCACCTTCCACATTCTCAGGACTGGGTGTGGCATGTGCAGGCCAGGCCAGGGAGCCTGGTAGAGACACAAAACTGAGTTGGTGAGAACCCAGAGGGCTGACAGGCGAGGGAGGGTCCATGCAGCACCAGGCCCAGAGCCTCCGGCGGGAGGTGGTGGGCAGTGTGTCCTGATGGTGGCAGCAGAGACCAGCTCAGGAGCCGCATGGCTCCCCTGCCCCAGCCCAGGGAGGCCTGGATCCGACCAATCCCACTCCTCAGCCACCTGAAACCCTGTGTGCGGTCTCTGGCTGGGTCCTTTGGCTGCTGGTGGGGCTCAGACTGGGCGGGCAGGGGAACTGGTAACATCCTGTTGGGCAAGCCTGAGATGTGCTAAGACTGCCCCCTGATCCTGCCAGAGCAGAGGAGTCACCCACCCATCTGTTCAGTGGTCCCCGCCATCTGGAGTCTGGCCTCTGGAGGAGGGAGAAAAGCAGGGCCAGGGCCGGACTGAAAAGCCAGATGTGAGAGCATCTATGCATGGTCGTCTGCCACCCAGGCTGCCTGCAATACCTGGCAAATGGCAACGGAGGAGGCCCTTCTTGGAAGGCTGCAGAGTGAGCTTTAGGACAGATGCCGGCGTTGGGAAGGTCTGAGACAGAGCCCTAGGCCTGAGGTGCAGCTATGAAAACCATCTGCATCCGCACGCACCTGTGCCTTGAAAAAGCACAGCATCCTGCAGGGACAAGTGTTCTCTCTCAATGCTCCTCCTCGCTGGGCCTTCCCAGGTGAACGATGACCCTGAGAAGTCGGGGCCATGACTGAGGACAGCAGCTGTGTGTGGAGGCAGCCAGGGCTGAGGCAGGAGCCTTGGTGAGTGAGCTCAGGGGAGTGGAAATGCAGGACAGATGCCTAAGAAGTGGGGTCAGAGGTCCACGGGGCTACAGAGTCTGCTTTGAACACAGGTGGGTATAATCCTTGACGAAGTACCTGTCCTATCCCCAGCACCTGAAGGGTGTGCTGGAAGCACCTCCAGGTGCTGTGCCAGGCTGTGTCCTTACTTCTGCCGCGGCTGATGTGATCATGCACGGCTTAGGCAGCTCACGGGGTTTCTGGCTTTGCAGTAAGATCTGCTCTGCTCCACACGCACACATAGCAAAAGGACTAGAATTGCAAAGCCCAGGTGTGGCCTGTAGGGGCAAAGGCTAGATCTACTCCTGCTGTCCAGCCCAGGCAAAGAGGAAGCTGGCGGGGAGAGGGCTCCGGACGGGGGAGCACAGCACACATCTCTGACTGCCCAGTGCCTGGCAAAGTGCCTGGCACACAATGGGCACTCGAGAAATAGTGTGTTCCATCAGACAAACAGATTCTACCACCAGATCTGGGTGGACTCACGTGTGATTGGGGCCCCGGGGAAGTCACTTCACCTGGTGACGTACTCCCCATCTGTAGGGTGTGCTCCTTGCCCAGCGTGTTTGTCTCTCTTTATTTTATTCCTCTGGCGAGTCTGTTTTAAGGCTGGAATGGTTAAAAATAATGGGAACTCATTTTGTAAACTAGAGCCTCTGGGCACATGTGAAGGATGGAAAATTAGAAAGCTGTCTCCAGTGTGGTTACTTCCTACTATGACCATGATTAATTATTTATTGGCTAACAGTACAATATTTTCTTATTGTCATTCTTTGTGTGTGTGTGTTTTAAATCCTCACCCGAGGATATTTTTCCATTGATTTTAGAGAGAGTGGAAGAGAGAGGGAAAAACAGAGAGAAATATCGATGTGAGAAGAACACATCAATTGGTTGCCTCCTGAACATACCCCAACCAAGGCCAGGGAGGAGCCTGCAACTGAGGTACATGCCCTTGACTGGAGTCGAACCTGGGACCCTTTGATCTGCAGGCTGACACACTATCCACTGAGCCAACCGGCTAGGGCTCATTCTTCTGTTTTAGAAGTGGACAATCAGATTTAAGAATACATGTGTGGCCCTGGCTGGTGTGGCTTGGTTGGTTGGGACGTTGTCCCGTGCACCAAAAGGGTTGCGGGTTCAGTTCCCAGCCAGAGCACATGCCTTGGTTGTGGGTTCAATCCCTGGTTGGGCATATATGGGAGGCAATTGACTGATGTTTCTCTCTCACATCAAAGCCTCTCGCACTGATGTTTCTCTCTCTCTTTCAAATCAGTAAACATATCCTCGGGTGAGGATTAAGGAAAAAAGAAAAGAATACACGCTGCCTAATGAAACAATACAACCTGCAACCTGCAAACATGCTCACCTCTGTGACCTGGGTCCCTGAGCAGACAGGCTGCCACCCTGACATGGGAGTCCGCTCTGCTCTCCCACTGGAAGGAGACAGAAAGCGGGAGCGGCGGCTCCTGGAGAGGATCCAGAATCCAGATTAAGCAGATCTGGTGGAGCGCAGTGCCAAGCAGAAACGATGCCACGTTAAAGGCACACACTCCTGCCTGATGGCCAGACGACCTGCCTCACGGCCTCCTGTGTGTGCAGGTTCTGGGGCTGGGCTCCTCCAGAGAGCGGGTGAGACGTGCTGGTCAGCGCAACCAACAACGCCGACGCCAGGCTGTGCTGCCTGAACAAAGGACCATCGCGCCCCTCTGCGTGGCTGGGCATGTGGACGCTGTCCTCTCCCTTCTGGGGGCCAGATGGGCTGGGGCCACTGGAGAGGCCGTGATGGGGGTGGGGGCAGGGCCAGGGCCAGGGCCAGGGCCATGCAGCCCGTGGAGCAGTGGTTCTCAACCTTCCTAATGCCGTGACCCTTTAATACAGCTCCTTATGTTGTGGTGACCCCCGACCATAAAATCATTTTCGTTGCTACTTCATAACTGTAATTTTGCTACTGTTATGAATTATAATGTAAATATCTGATACGCAGGATGTATTTTCATTGTTACAAATTGAACATAATTAAAGCATAGTGACTAACACAAAAACAATATGTAATTATATATGTTTTCCGATGGTCTTAGGCGACCCCTATGAAAGGGTCGTTTGACCCCCAAAGGGATCGCGACCCACAGGTTGAGAACTGCTGCCGTGGAGGGACCTGCAGGAACAGGGCCAGCAGCTTGGGGAAAGAGAAGACTGACCTTGAGAGCCATTTCAAATGTTTTGGGGCTGGCAGACTGGTTCTGTGTAGTTTCAGAGGGCATGGCTTAGGGCACAGAGTGAAAATTACAAGGAGGCAAATTCTGGCCCCCAAGAGAGCAGGGTAACAACCCGAGGGAGAACGGGCTGTCCTGAGTGAGCACACAGAGGTGCCTCACCTGGAGGGTTCGGAGGGAGGCCGGATGGTAGCTGAGTGGGGTGGGTGGGTGGGGCTGAGGTCAGTGAGCATCCTTGTGAGGTTATCAGAGAAACTGAGAATCTAGGATCAAGCACCTGGCGAAGACATAAAGGAAGCCCTCGGTTCTGAGTGATGACAGCAGGTTCTCTATGGAGACACCGGGGGTGGGGGTGGGGGGTGGGGGAAGCAGCAGCAAGAAGTGCCGGTCACTTGGGGAGAGCCCTTCTGCACCAACACCAGTGGGAGCAGAGGACAGTGATGAGTCCACACAGCATCCAGCTCACACCCGTGAACACACAAAACTGGGGAGCGAACAGCTCAGTTCGCAGGTAACTCTGAAGCCTCAGTTTAGCTGCAGGCACTGTTTCCCCAGGGCTAACAAATTCCTGCAAGACCACAGCTGCTCTGCCCTTCTTTCTTGGGGGGAGAGAGACAGAAGGAGGGGAAGAGATGCGGGAGGGGAGGAAAGACAGGAAGGGATGTGGACGGGATGTAGGAGAGGAGGTGAGGGCTCTGCTGTAATTTGCAAGTGCCCAGTCTCACCCAGGCTCCTCGCTGCCGCTGCTGCGTCACTACAGGCAGTCGCAGGCGACCCTGGAGGGCAGGGTGGTGTCGTGGCAGGGGCACTGGGCTGGAAGATAGGCGCTGTGGGCTCTCTGCCAGCCTGCCTCTCGCTAACCCTGGGGTCTCGAGTGACCACATTGCCCTCCAGTTTGGCGTTTCTTCCTGCAACGTGCAGGGTAAACTGGACTCCCTGTGGGGTCCTCCCCGCCCCTGGGAGCTGTGCCTGTATGACCAGTGGGCATCGAGCTGTGACTGGCAGAGCCAAGGACCAGGGGCAGGGAGAACCACAATCCCTGTCATGCCACCTGTTTACTGGGATTCTGAACAGCTTTGCCGCCCACCTGGTGGGGACTGTCCAACCCTGGGCCAGGGGGTTCTGAGGACGGGCAAGTTGGTGTGGAGGAGGGAGAGGAGAGGGGGGGCGTGGGGAGGGCACTCACAGCAGGAGGAGATGGGCACGCTGATGGCCAGGACCACCCAGGCAATGTCCATCTTGCTCAGGCAGATGGTGGCTCTGTGCTGGGGGGAGTCCCCTTCGGCCACGTGGGAGATGTTCCCGGCGGGGCCAGGCTTCCAGGTCCCCGCAGGGACCAGGCGGTTGAGGAAGTTCCCCGTGGCGGTGGACACCACTGTGGACAGAGGACGGGGCAGCCGGGCAATCATGCTGGGGGCGGCCACAGCCTCCCCCTCGGCTTGGGGGACAGTGCTTTCTGAGGCCCCAGGGGGGTGAGCGGGGGCCCGCGGGGCTGAGGGTGTCGCTGAGGATGTTCCCTGAGGAAGCCCCTCGGGAGGGGCGGAGACGCTGGTATCGAAGGCAGCCTGGGGGGGCCCCGGGGCCGCCGTGGAGCCCCCCGAGCTGGCGGACAGAGGCCTGCCGGTCCCAGGGGTGACAGTGAGCCAGGAGTCACTGTGGCTGGAGCTGTCGTGGGGGTCACCGCGAGGGCGCAGAGAAGGCACTGGGGCAGGTTGTGGGCTGGCGGGGGCGCCTGAGGCTGTGGCGGCGTCCGGCTGCCCTCCTGGGCTGGTGAGGGTCGGACCACCCCCCTGGTCTGCTCTAAGGCCCGGCTTGGCTGCCGTGCGCACCAAGGGGGTGGTGCCTGGTGCCCATGTGGTCCTGCTGGGCGCCGTGGCTGCGGCCACCGTCTGGGGCTGTGGCGAGGAGGAGGAATTCCAGGGTGTGAGGGTGGAGGGCTCGGGCTCCGCGGACCCTGTGGCATTGCCTCTGAGGACCTGAGAGGCTCTCACCCCCTGGTGCTTCTGCCCCAGGTGTGCGGAGCTCTGATTCCTGCCCCGCGGGCCTTCCTTTCTTCCCGAGGGGCCCCCAAGTGCGGGCAGGACGGGGCGGGATGAACCGCCAGCCCCCCTTCGGGCAGAGCCAGGCAGTCTGGGGGGCCTGCGTGTGGCCCCCTGGGTGGGTGCTGGGCTGGGGCGGCTGGTGGCTGCAGGCAGCTTTGTCAGCAGGATGGTGGGCCCAGCCTCCCCTAGGGGGTGGCCCTCTGGGTGGGAGGTGGCCATGGCTGTGGCTGTGGTCGTGGCCGCAGGAAGGGGCCCTGTTGCCGTGGCCATCGTGGTGGAGGCGGTGTTTGCAGGAGGGTGTCCCTCTGGATAGGGTGTTGCTGCTGCCACGGTGGCTTCGGCCTGTGAGAAGGGCCCATCAGGACGGGGGCTCAAGGTCATGCTGGAGGGGGCGGCCACCAGGGCGGAGCGACTGGTGGAGCTGAGCGGTGGGGTCACCATGGTGCCGGGAGGCAGGACCTGAAGAGAGTTCCTGGGAGATGGTTCCTGGGCAGCAAACGCCAGAGCTTCGGTCAGCGCCAAGGTCAGGAGGAAGCCTTGAGGGAGACAGAGGGCAGAGGTGAGGTTCCGGGAGAGGCTGGGGGCCCGGGCCTTCCTAACCCGAGAACCTGTGACCCGGGAACTCAGGGGATGCCCCCGAGCATCCCCGAGGTCCAGCTGGAGACAGCTGGCCTGCCCCGCCTAGGAGCGGCCTTGGGCCTGATCCCGACCTGTGAACTCCTGCTTGTTCCCGCGAGCCCCTGGGTCCCTCTCACCCTTCCTTCAGCCCTGCTGGCCGCCCAGCAATGGCGGAGCAGAAACCATTTCCATCTGGCCACTCTCTGGGGTCCCCTCCCCCACATTCCAGCAGGGCTGATGGCCAGCTCCTGGGACAGTCAGTGGAGCTGCTGACAGGGAAGGCAGGGGCCTGGTGAGCTTCCGAGGAGCAGGGAGGGGAGATCACTTCCTGGCAGGCCTTGGGCATGAGGCCCAGGACCACCCCAGGGCCACCTCCAACTTAGGTGGAGTGTGGGGTCTTGGAGGGGACCAGTGTCCTCCTTACCCTGCACTTCACTTCTCAGTGAGGGGCCAGGGGAGGCTGAGGATTGTAGCTCCAATAGACTGTAGCTCCCATGATCTCTAGGAACAATCTGCCCTAAACAACCTATTTTTCCCAAACGTTCATTTGTGACGTAGCCCAGACATGAGCAGTGGGCTCTGCCTGTTCAAGCCAGTCCTGAGAACTGGTTACGGAGCAGCTACCCCACCCCCACCTTTCATGCGTGATTCAGTCCTCAACCACCCGCTGGGGTAGAACACTGAGGCTCAGGAGATTAAGTTAACACATTCGAGGTCCCACAGTATCAGAAGTATTTGAAACAGGGCTGGATCCCACATGCATGTTTTTCCTGGTTAAACAGCACCAATGGCACAGGAGGAGGAAGAAGGAGACGGGACCTGCATCCACAGAGGAACGTACTGCTGTGCTCCGACCAGTTCAGGCTCAGTCCGCCTCCCCCTGCAGCTTAAACCACAGGGGCGATCTAAGAACCGGTATCGAGGCCCCTGATCTGAGGCACATTCCATTATGAGCCCCTGCTTGGCTCCTGAGGGCCTTGGTTCAATATAAGTGTTGTTAGGAACTGAACTGTGCCCCCCTAAGTCCCCATGCTGAAGCCCTAACCCCCAGCACCTCAGAGTGTGAGTGTTTGGAGACGGAGCCTTTAGAGAGGTGACTGGGACACAATGAAGCCATGGAGTGGCTCTCGTCCAGTCTGACTGCTGTCCTGACAAGAGGAGATGAGGACACAGAGAGCAGCATCAGGGATGCTGAATACCTGTGCAGAGGAAAGGCCCGAGGGGACGCAGTGAGAGGGCAGCCTCGGCAAGCCAAGGAAGGAGGTCTTATTAGAATGCAATACTGTCAGCATCTTGACCTTGGCCCTCAGCCTCCAGAACTGCGAGAAAGCACATTTCTGTTGTTCAAGCCTCTAGTCAGTGGTGTTTGGTTATGGCAGCCCAAGTAAGTGTCTTACATTAGAGACTCCCCAAAAAAGAGAGGTGGAGGCAGGGGCTTGTGTGCAGGTAGTTCATTTTGGGAAGTGATCAGCCATGGGGTCTGATCTGAGGTGAGTGAAATGGGGAAAGTCAATATGAGGGCAAAGTATGAGCTGATTAGAGAGGGCAACTCACATTCGCTGGGACCTGGGAGGAGCTGAGTAGATGCACCTCGAATTGTCCAGGTAAGATCACACCCTGCAGCTCCCATACCCACTGGCCCACGCGGCTCCACGGGGGCTTGGTCCACTGTACTTCCTTGCTCCTGCACCGCCCATGGGCGAGTCAGAGAGGGCCTGTCTAGTCCCACCGGGGCCCAGCTGCTGGCTGCCACAACAGCTGGAGTTAAACTGAAGGGCTCAGAAGATTCCTGGGGTGGAGGCCAAGGTCACAATAGTCTGTGGGAGCAGAAAGGGCAGTGCCAAGCTTTCAGAGAGCCCCCAACTGACCCCAGTGACATGCCTGGGTGGGACTGGAACCACTCTGGCTGCCAGAACTGCTGCAGCGCTATGGAGGCAGAGGGGTTAATGCATCCTGGTCTTTCTAACACCCAGGAAAGAAATTCCCCAGGCTTTCCCACCAGGAATGTTCCAGGGGCTAAAATCCTCCCAGCTGGAAAGATATGACTGGAACCCTGCTTGTGTCAGTCTCACAGTGTAGAAAGTAGAAAATCTTTAGCCTCTGCAAGCTCTAAAGTCAGTTTTCTCTAGAAGGACTGTTCAGTGACCTCTTAGCCATTTCTTCTTTGGATGCAGAGTGAACCTCTGGTACAATGAGTGGATACTGCCATCCTGGCTGCAAAGGGTTTTCGCCCAGAGGGAGACATGTAGCTGTCACAGTGCAAGGGGCCCGGGAAGTAAGTTAATGCAATGCCCTCATTTCCCAGAGCGGGGAGGGAAGTGACTTGTCCAAGAACACACAGCTGGTGGGGGGCGGAGTCTGGATCTTAGCTATTATTTCAAAGCAACTTTCCATTTGCATCATAAAAACTGCTACAATGTCACAGTGCCCAAACACCTTCAGCCTCCACTGTCACCTTCAGCATGGAAATCAGACCTGAGTTTACCTCTCCTCCTGGGCACGAAAGGTTAGCCCCTAAAGGCGAAGGGCAGCTTACTGTCACAATAGCTGTGCAAGGCCTTCCTCTCAGCAGATGCAAATTTTCACCCACGGCCCTTTGTTCTGGCCTGCTCACTCTGCTCCCCACCTTTGGGGCTCCGGGCCTCTTTGCATATCATTTGCATTGTTTGCATAATGGCCCCTGAGGTTCTAATTCCAAATATATAAGAGAGACTAAACCTAAAATCTAGCTTGACGTGCTTTAAATGTGGACCCGATTTTTATAGCATGTCGTGATAAGGACGAGTGTGTGTGGGGTGGAAACCCACAGATTGATGGGAGCCCAGATGTCCACGCAGGCCTCCTCCTACCTAGAATTCCAATGCATCCATGATCCCAGGACCCAGGGGGAAGAAAAGGCCCTGCTCCTTCTGTTTGTTTGGTCGGGTGCCCACTGTCCATATTGGGCATGACATTTGCATCTGGCAAAGGCGAGGAGGGAATTGGTGAAGAGAGCAAAGGCTAAAATGAACGGAGTGCTTCCTACCCATCACGTGCTGCTCGCAGGGCTAGGCCTGTCCTGACACAGTCCTCACATCCACCCGATGAGGCCGGTGCTATTAGTTCCCTGCTGTTGCCCGAGGAAAGCACAGAGGGGTGCAGGACCAGCCCTCTCACTCAGCTGGGGAATGGTGGGCTGAGATTTGAACCTGGCTGCCTGGTTCTAGGGTCTATAGTCTCAACTTGCTCTCAATGCCCACCCTGCGGGCTGCTCTGTACAATCAAATGCAATGACCCACAATCTTTTGGGAACTGATTTTCTATCATCGGTCTTTTGACTCTCCTTCCCTCTTACCTGTATTCTTCTTTCTCCACTTCAGGACTCTATAGGACACACTGGGTGTTCTTTGAACAATCCAGCCAATTAACTGTATTTCGCAACTAACGGGGGTGGGAGGAGGGGACTTGGAGTAGTACAGTAAGCGGGCTGGAAATCCCTGCTCTAATTCTCTCCTCTTCCCCGAGCCTGGTATCCCACTGCTTAATTAATTAACTTAGGTAAAATTTTTCTCTTAAAATTGCTTACTCACACATACAAGACACATGGATACATTTCCCCTTACACATAAAAACAGAGTTCTAGCTCACTTTCCTTGTAATGTAAAACATGTTCTTCTAAGTAGAGCATCCCTCCCCATTAAACTAGGTTTCTACTGCCAGCGATTTCTCCTCTGCCTCTAAACCCCACAGCACCATCGAAGGTGTCTGAGAAGCCGTCTAAGCCACCCACCCCCATCGGTAAGCAGCAGGCAGCTTGGCCCTCCCCAATGTGTGGTATTTGCAAGTTCTTGGCACTCCTCTCACCAGGAGGTGGAGTCTGCCTCCTTCCCGTTGAACCTCGTGGACCAGTGTGACCCCCTCAATGAGCAGAACGGAACAGAAGTGACACCACATGAGTCCGAGGCCAGAGGAGAATGGGTCACACAGCTTCTGCAGGTTTCTCTTGGGGGCCTCAGCCCCATGAAGGGGCTGCCGTGTGGAGGGAGTGGGGAGACCATGTGGAGAGTGAGAGGGGGCTCAGCTGCCCCAGCCCCAGCCAGGCCTCAGACATCAGCGTGAAGAGCCGAGTACGACCCTGGCCCAGAACTGCTGGATGGCAACCGCACAACAGGCCCTAAGTGGGAGCCCCCAGCTGAGCCCAGTCAACCCTAACCTTTGAGAATAAAATAGCTTACTCCTGCCCTAACCAGTTTGGCTCAGTGGATAGAGCGTCGGCCTGTGGACTGAAGGGTCCCAGGTTCGATTCCGGTCAAGGGCATGTACCTTGGTTGTGGGCGTATCCCCCAGTACGGGGTGTGCAGGAGGCAGCTGATCGATGTTTCTCTCTCATTGATGTTTCTAACTCTCTATCCCTCTCCCTTCCCGCTGTAAAAAAATCAATAAAATATATTTAAAAAAAATAGCTTACTCCTTTCAGCCCCTGTTTGGGTGGTTTGTTGGCAGCCACAGATAACCAGACATGTGGAAATTTAGCTTCTACATCTGCAGTTCCAACAACACTAGAAACGAGTATCCACAGCACACCGAGTCTGACCCTCGGGGAGCCTGCCTCCTACAGGGCAGTAATGTACCATCTTGCCGGGAAACGAGCTTTTCTAATTTCAAGAGGATCGCCTTATGATTGGAAGGGACTTTTAATTAGGACTCTCTGATATCTAACTCTCTCACCTTATGGACGAGAAGGCTGAAGCCCAACACAATGAAACAGCTTGCCCTGGCCCAGGCCAGCTCTACGGGGTTAGGGCCGCAAGGGACCTGGGCCAGTTCACTGTCTCCCAATCCCACCAACACCCTGCACTTACAGTGCTCTCCTTCCATCACTGTGACCCCAGTATTCCAGGGGCTCTGAACTTCAATGTCCCCTTTCATTTTAAAGACC